AACTTATGAGGCCCATTTCATCCGGTGGTTCGTCGCAGGCCTTTCCGTGCCTCGCCTGGCGGCCGCCATTCGGGCTCTCTCGCCCGAGGACGCCTCCAACCTGCGGGCGGCCATGGCCGAGGCCGAGGCGGAGGCCACGCCCGACCAGGACACGGCGACTGGTGATGGGCCGCCCACTTTGTCGACGTCGGCGTCTTCGGCATCTTTGGCACTGGGGGCGGAAGTCCAGCCCACGACGGACCCCGGCCCGTCGGCACCGGAGGCTCGCGCCTTTTGGGAAGGGCGTGATCCCGCTTCGGCCAGAGCCTCGCCTCGGCTCGTCGCCGATCCACAGCCTGAGCCTGCTCCGGCCGCCGTGCCCCTGCCGGGCGTAGAGGTTGACTGGGACTCGCTCACGACCTACCTGGCCGAGCTCGACGCCGCCGAAGGGGCGCCGGCGGCCTCGTCGGCTTTGCCTGTCCTGGCGACGGCCAAGCCCAAGACGGTGGCTAAGGCTCCTCCGCCGCCGTTTCTGGAGCCGGACACTACTTCGCCGCCGGCATGTCGAGCTCGCCGGTCAAGCCAGCGCTGGGAATCGGCAGTCGCCCTGGAGCAGGCAATCGGCGCCGGGGCGGTCTCGCCCCAGCCCCAGAAGGTGACCCAGGGCGTCGTCCTCCGAGCCTTGCCGGGGCACGTGAGAGGCGGCCGTCTTCCACGCCGCCCGGACAGTCACAACCTCGCCTGGGTTCATGTTGCGCGAGATGGTCGCGGCCGCCCGGGTGGGCGACCTGGTCATCATGAGGGCGGAGGTCGTCTTGGACCTGCCCATCCACAAGACGGCGCAGGGCGGCGAAAGGACGCTCACCCGCAGGTCTCTCCATTGTGCCTGCGGGGCGACGACCCACCCGCTTTGCCCGGTGCATGCGGCACGCCGCCACTTGCGCCGGCTGGGCGCGGCCGGGTTGCTCGCGTCCTCGGCCCCCCTCTTCCCGGGCACGGGGGGGGGACCAGGTGCAAGGAGGACTCGGTACACTTCCTGACCCCCGTCCTGCGAGCCGCCGGCCTGGTCACGACCTTCCTGGACTGGGCGGAGAAGAACGTCTTCGGCGGTCACGCCTGCCGGGTGGCGGGTGCCACCTTCCTGGCCGCCAAGGGCATCCCTCTGGCCGTCATCCAGCTGCTGGGCCGGTGGTCGTCTATATAGGGCCATCGAGAGGTATACGCAGGCGGCGCCTTGGTGCTCGCGCCGGGAACCGTGGCGCGCGCGCTGGGGTCCCACCAGCCGCCCGGAGCCGCCTCGGGCTCGAGCGGGGCATCCGCCCGGCCGGCGCTGGGCGCACCGTCGGGGAGAGAGCCCGCGAGGACAGGGCGAGATGCAGCTGGCCATCTCTGATGCCCGCCCGGTCGCAGAAGACCGCCAGTTAAGATGGCCCGCCCTGGGAGCGGCCCAACAAGTGGCCAACGCCATCCTGCCGGAGCAGCTCGCCGGGGGGCCCTCGGTCTCGGGAGCCGACCGAGGGTGATCCATCGCCCGGCCCACCCTCACCTCGACGACGGGTTCGCGGACTGCGGCCGCCGCGTCGAGCTACGCCGCCGGGCCCTGATGTACTGGGCCCCGCCGCCGGCCGAGCAGGCGGGCTGCCCTGGCGATGGTGCGTGGTCTGCTGGTGCGGCCGCAACCTCAGCCGGGCCGACGACGAGGTGGTCAGCGAGCTGGAGTGACGCCGGGCCGCGCCGCTGGGCGGCCGGCAAAGACCCTTGGCCCGACCGGGCCGATTTTCTGAGAAGCCAGGGGAGTTTTAAAAAGGCGTGGCTTAGTTGTGCTCCGGCTGTTTGCCTGCGACCAACCCGCAGCCTTATCTTGACTCCTTCTAGGTCCCGCCCCCCCCTCCCCTCCCCCGCCTGCCCCTCGGACTGGTCATGGCCCCGCCTTCGTCCTCGACCGCCGCCCTCGTCGACTTCCGCACCTTGGCCGCCGAGGCTGGGCGGGGGACGTCGTGGTGAGATATCTGGGGGCTCGCGGCCTGGCCCGCGCCGCCACCCTCGCCCTGGTGGAGCCCAGCCAGGCGAGGTTCCAGGCGACCGTGGTCGACCCGCTCCTGGTTGGCTTTCGCGACAGCGCCTCAGAAACCGAGTTTGTGGTCCAGTCCGCCCAGAGGGCGGCGGCCATCGGGGCGATCCCGCCTCCGTCGCCTTCGGCGTCGGCTCTGCCGGCCCTGCCGCTCGCGTCGGTGGCCGCCGCAGGCCCGCCGCCCAAGTCCTTCGACGCCTGAAGACCCTTGGTCAAGGCTTACAACGACAAGCTCCTTGATGGTAAGCCCAGGCGCCTGGCAGGAGCGGACGCGGTGCTCGCCAGGATCTATCACGAGCACACCGTCTCTAAGTCCTACACGCCGCTCCTGCTAGGCGAGATTTTGGCCGCCAGGACCTGGACTTCCGGGGACGAGCTCAATCGCCTGGCGGTCCCCCAGAAGGAGGCCGTCGGGGGAAACCTGGTGGCGACGGACGACAAGAAGCCGTGGGAGCCCCGCGGCGTCATGTCTGTGTTGGACGGGCTCGAAGCGGTGCGCCTGGCTTGGATCCTGACCACGGTCGGCGACGAGGGCGACGTCAACGACTACATCGCCTGGTGGGACCGTAAGGTCAGGGCCCGCACGGCCCACGTCGAGAACATCGTCGCCTACTGGACGTCAACGGCCACCACCTTGGCCATGGAACTTCGCCAACGGCGCACCTTCAAGGAGGTCACCGCCGACATCATGGCGGACACCTCCGCCTAGTTGGAGGCCATGGCCACGCCGCCGCCTCCGCCGGAGCCCAAGAAGCCCGCCAGGCCACAGCCGCCCCCCAAGGCCGAGCCGGACCAAGGGGCGGACTGGGCCCCACCAACCCCGAAGTGGCAGCGCACGGAAGGGCAAGAAGGGGCAGAAAGGCCAGAAGGGCGGCAAGAAGGGACCAAGGGCGCCGGCAAGGGCCAGGAGCGCCAGCGCCGCCAGGATGAGCAGCGCCGCGACCAGGCCTGGGACGACTCCTGGTGGGCGTCGTCGTCGTGGGGCTCTGGGCCGACGTCGCCTCGGCTGCGTCGGTGCCCGACCCGGCGCCCGCCAAACGAGCCAAGCTAAGGCCAAACCGCCCGGAGGGGCGGTCCATCATCGTCCTCTCCGCCTTCGATGGCATCGGCGCGTCCCACTGGCTGGTGGCTAAGGCCTTTGGGCGGCCCCTACTTTCCGTGTCCTGGGAGGGCGACGGGGCATGCAAGGCATTGGTGCAGAAGGCCATGCCCTGGGTAGAGCACAGGGGCGATCTCACCCGGGATTCGCCCGAGGACGTGGCCCACCTCATCATGGACGCCGGCCCTGACGCCTGCGCCTTGATCGTCTGGTGCGCGGCGCCGCCGTGCCAGGACTTCTCCCGGATCGGCCAGGGAGCGGGCCACCACGGCGAAAGGGGCAGGCTCTTCCAGGACGCGGACCAGGTTCGCGGTCGACCCCCACCATGGAGTGGGCCAAGAAAGGCAAGTGGGAGCGCCTTCGCCTGGCCTCGGCCAGGCCGTCGGCGGATACCTTCGACTTGGCGGCTTGGCGTTTCACCCGTCCGTGGCGACGGGCCGGCGCCTTATGCCTTGCGCCCACGCCGGCACCTACCGAGGAAGGCCGGCCCAAACCAGAGGGAAGACGTCCAAGGACACAGACGCCAGGTGGAGCGACGGCGGGCGCCAATATGCCTATGGCACTACCAGCTCGAGGCCATGCTTCAGGACAGCCAGGGCGTCCTACACCTCCCCACGGCCGAGATTAAGGAGCAGCTGCACGGCATTCCCATCGGCTGACGACAGGACGCGCCTCCGGCGTCAGGCCTTCATCCGGCAAGAGCAGGCCGCCAGAAGCCGGGCGGGGCTCCGCCAGCTGCCGGCGGATGTGGATTACGACACCGCCCTGGCCTCTCACATAGAGAGGGAGTTCGCGGAGCAGCGCGCCATGGGCTCCCCCATGCAACAGCCTGCAGCGGCCGCCAGCCAGGCCACACAGGCGGACAGGGCGTCAGGGCCCCGCTGGAGGAGGCCCATCGGGCCCCTCGCCGGGTCCAGGTGGTGGAGGACACACACCCCCGTCCATTCGAGGCGGCCTAAAAGGGCGGCTTCTTCTTCGTCGGCGGTGCCGCCTCCGCCCAAGGCTTCCTTCCCGCCGCCGGACATGGCTGGGGGCGCCACGGCTTTGGCAGCCCGGAACAGGGAGCAGCGGTCCCACAAACAGGCGTCTTCGGATGAATTTCGGTTTCAGGTGTGCGAGCCTGCTATGGCAGCTACGCCCTGGGCGGCCAACTCCTGCCCCTCGCCCAGGACGGGTGGGGACGGCCGGGGTGGGGGCGAAGTCCCACGGCGGCCCGCCCAGGCCTGGGTCAGCAGGTGTTCCTGGCGATGTGGATCCACCTGCTCCTGCGCCTGGACGTCGGGCGGGGCGGCCTTCCTTGGCATGGAGCAGCACTGGGCCTCGGCACCGCTCATGCAGCACTGCCTCGCCACACGCCCGGCGTTGGAGCCGGCCCTCCGACGGCGGTGGCGACATGACCTTTGCCGCATTCGTCGGGAGGTCGTCGCGGAGCCCTCGTCATGGTGGAGGAGCGGGAGGACGACACCCAGGCCTGGCTCCAGGAATTGCCCGCCCACGTCAGGGCGACTTACACGACTTCGGACCGCTCGAGGCCCTTCCAGGGGCCCACCTTCCTGAGCCTGCTCCGCGACCTGGGCTACCCCGCCACCACGGACCTTGAGGAGGACTTGCGCCTGGGCTTCGACATGCTGGGCCCCGTCCGCCGAGCACCAGGCCCGCCTTACCGGCCCTTGCGCCGCTCCCGACCACTGGTCCGTGGCAACCGCGGCGCTGCCCTGGACGGCCGACATGCGCACCTTGCGCCGGCCCCCACTGGGCGACTGCTTCGCCGCCCTCTCCTTTGCCATTTGCCAGGTCGACGAGAACGGGGACCTCAAGCTACGCCGAAGCGAAGATTGGCGACGGTCAGGCCACAACGCCACCATGAGCGCCGAGGACGTGCCCACCCACCACTTCCTGGGCGACATCGTCGACTTCATCCTGGCCGCCTGGTGCGAGGGTTGGGACCCTAAGGTCTTCGGCCATGACCTTCAGAACGCCTACCGCCAGTGGGCGGTGCGTTGCCCTGGCCATTGCGGGACGTTCCTCCCCACCGACCAGGGCGTGACTCTTTGGTTCCACTACGCCATGTGTTTCGGGGCGGCGGCGAGCGTCTGGAACTTTAACAGGGCAGCCGACGCCGTCCAGATGCTCATGCGGGCGCTCCTCCTGGTGATTTTGGGCCACTTCGTCGACGACTTCAACGGCGCCGACGACGGCCACACCGCCGAGTCCGCCCACAACGCCGTGGCCGAGTTCTTCGCTGCCCTCGGCCTCCATGACCAAGCCCTCCAAGGCGCAGGCGC